AATGAGTTTCTTTTTGACATTCTTTATACCATTCACCTTATAGTATGTACAAAAACACACCTACAGTGAGCGTCGGCGAGCATCGGAAAGCTATACTCAATTACAAGAAAAATACTATTTCAAAATATATATCGAACTTGTGGTTTGAGAGTACAAAAGATTCGAAAAAATCACGATCCTATAGATGATCAAAAACTTTGTGGTATAGGCAACACCACTGCAGAAACTCATTTATTGCTAGTTATTAGTACTCCTTAATAGCTTTCGATAATTAGAAAAGCAAAAGGTAAAGAACCTCGAATTTTTCAGGAAAAGAAATTAAAGGAATTACAGATTACAAATCTATCTCTCCCCCTCGCACGATCTCCCACGAAACTCCTCCTTCAACGTTCGAAAGAGTCGCCACCAAAGAGGTTAATAAATAATATAGTAATTCTACAGGAATAGCTTTACTGCTTTCATCTTTCGCAATCTATATCAATAAAAAAAGTAAGGTGATAATATATATATATATATATATATATAAGATGTTATCAATTATAACTATACTATTTATCAATGGAAAAATGGAACAACACGTCAGTATTGTCAATGATATTACAAATTCACAGTATATATACTTGTAAGTGATACAAATGTTGTAAACGTAGCTGTTTCTATGGAATTCTCACATCTATAAAGGTTATCGGAATTAATGCGACCACGCTTTTTTTCCACAACCAACCATTTAAGAGCTATTTCTGTAACGGAAACCATGCTTGAACTTAGACGTGGGGGATCAAAATAGAAGGAAAAAAAACATCTTATCCAAGGACACTTACACATTCAGAAAAATAACATTTTACCACATAAATATATTTGATAATAGAAAAAGCCATGAAAGTGTCCAGATTTTATCATTTATTATATTTAAGATATAAATTATTAGTTAATTAAATAAAAAAAGGATTCACGTAACTCGTATATTTTTCAAACACACACCCACACATACAAATACGTCTAGATAAAAGTCAAACGACCATTCCAACTTGTTGGTGAGAGACGATTTATTTTCTAACTCAGGCTATTCGTCAACAGGCTCTTGCAAGTATTGTGGGAATAAATGCTATACGATTTATAAACAAATACAACATATATTAAAATTTTCTCCATGGCAATTTATAATTTTACTATGCTACTACCCAGGCCGCATATATACATAACAAGTCGATTTAGTTTAGCGTACAAAGCCTTTCTTCGTCGACTTTCTCTAGACTTGTAAATACTATATTAGTATATTGAGTATACATAGTTGCATGTAGTGCAGATCAGCTATTGTTGCTAGTCGTAAAAGATGATAAAAAACAGAGGCGGAAGATAGCAAGGGGACAATTCAAAACTCATAAGTCGAAAAAAATGACAACATCGTGGCAAAACGACAAAAAGACGAACAAATCTACAAAACATAACAAAGAAAATTAAAGATTGCGCAACACGAATCTCACCAAAAACAGGGTGTGAACTCGGGTACTCTGGAAGGGTTTAACTTAGCAGTTACTGCTCTACATGGACAGCACCCTTCGTGTTAATTGCTCATGAAGTACAATTCCGGTGATAATTCTCATTCGGTGATGTCATAATCGAGGAAAAGGGGACGGGACTTGGGTTTCTACAATTGGAACATATCCGTGGTCATCTGTGACTTAGATATTTCATAACAGTCAACCAACTCGAAGGGATGACTTCAACTTCACCACTTGGAACCCTTGGTTCGCTAGCTTCCTTGTGTGTAAGCGAAAACCCTCTATCAAGGAAATCATTATAGGAAACGCAAACTCTAGAATATTGTATCAACAGGGGAGATATATACTCCATATGCAGGCGCTGTTTGTATATTACTTCATAGAAATGGAAAGTTCACAATTTGGAAGCTGAAGGCATCTTTTTTGTCGTAAAATTTTATACTCAACCGACCCTCATTGTAAAATTTTAGATGCAAGTCAAGATATGAGGCAGACTTAACTTAATCTGTAGTCATGCACACTTTGGATTATCTTGTGACACTAAATCGTTTTTTTTTAGCGAACGTGAAGCCAAGGATAGTGCTAGCTTTTGTATGGTTCTTCCTGAGAAGCTCCTATGAAGTCTGTCTCATATGAATAAAGGAACCAGTCGGCAAAAAGTGGGGCACAGTTTGTTCCCATATGAATGCCGATTGTTTGTTGAAAAACACATCCGTAACAAATATGTTGTCAAGAAAAAAAATCAAGCTTATCTTGATGATGTCTGTTTCAGATAGTTTGTTTGAATGAGAGTAGTTTTTTTTTTGTTTAACAAGAATGATGTATCCCTTCCTCAAATAAGATACATATATACTATGCAGTTATGTGAATATGTTTTATACACGTAAATATGAGACAACTCTAGGACAGACATCCTCCAGTTCTGGTTGTGATCCGTGTCAACCTTTTCTGTACGTTTGGTATTTGCATACAGGGTAAATTTGAGTTCAAATTAATTATGCTAGTAAATAAAAACAACAATTAGATTTTTTAAGAGGGTCTAAACCAACCTTGACAGTTGTGAGAGAGATTAAGCAAACATCAGATCAAAGTCTAGTTTTACTTACATTTTCAGAATTTACCTTTTCAGCATCAAGTTCTATATATACACAAAAACTCACCAAGGATACCAGGCTAAAACTTTGGTACGCCAGACGCGCATTTCGTCTACACAAGACTCATCAGTGGCGCTCGAATTAAAACAGTTGGAAGCCGAAATTAAATACGAAGTACACACCAGATAATTTTCATTTCCATATTATTTTTCATGATACTTAAGCATGCATATATACAATTATGTATGGTGTTTATATATCCCACAATCTTAAAATATGCAACAGCATGCAACTCTTTCTATAAGATAAAGGTGAGCAGTATTTAGATTAACCATGCATGGTCTTATAATGATGATCTCGTCCTCTTCATCTGGCAATTTTTTAAAATTGGAAAGAATCAGACTAAATTATTAGACGTTAGCTGATCTTCCAGATGATACATCACCTAATTGGAGGCTCTGTCCAGTTAAGTCTGATAAATGTATGAGTCGAGAAGGAAAACGACATATCTAAATATTTACATGTTTTAAATAATTGTTTTCAAACTCGAAATTTCCCTCTGAATAGATGAAAGGTAAAATAACACCTTTACCTAAACGTTCAACGTCAATTCCAAGAGATCCATTCTCTTACCGAGGCATATAGCTTTAGCCTTGTGTACTTTTGAACTCTATTGCTTTTTTTTTAAAATTATATGCGGCTTAATTGTATCTTGGTTAGAAACTAGAGATGTAATACACGATGAACAAATCAGTTTTAGCTGTAGAAAAAGTATTCTTTTGATCAGTTAAGTACGCTAACATCTATTTCTGAAACTAGTAATGTACGGTTATATGTATATACTTTTGCTGTTTCGTAGATTTTAATAAAGCGCGTGACACGGTTAATACGAATTTATTGTTTAAAAAAGAGAGGCGAAAGATACCAAAGGGATATTCAAACTCATAAGTCGATAATAAACTAACAATGCCATGGCAAAAAACAACTAAACAAAACCATCAAAAGACAAATAACAGTACACAAAACACAACACAGACAACTAAAGACTGAGCAACACGAACCCCAACAAAATTTAAATAAGATTGGCATAAGTAAACATTGTGCATAAACATATTCTCAAGTTGAATTTGCTATTAAGTGAAATAGTAATATCCGAATGGTTAAGCGTTAATTCATGTGTAAAACAAGGCTGTGTTTATCGCCAATATATTATTCAATGTTCTTATACATGTACATATATAAATATAAATATTGCAGATATTAACGTAGTAGTATAGTAGTAGTAGTTTGGTTTTGGTATTGGTATTGATAGTGAAAGTAATTGTATTATCTGCAGATGATATTGCATTTGGTTTCTAAACTATGTTGAAATGGCAAAAGCTGTAGCATGGTCAGCAAGTAGAGCACCGAGTTTAGTCATTGTAAAGAATAAGACACAAGGGGATTTCCCACTAAACTATATATTTGATACCCTGGTTTGGTCAGAATTAAGTTATGATGCAGCCGAGAAATTGTTCATGCATTAATGCATTCCAGCACAGAGCTATCAACTTCTTTTTGGATGTAGGCATATATCCCACAAACAATGCAATCAAGAGTTAGAGAACTCCGGCCTTTGTTATTCTGTGGACTTGTGGTTTTGGACTATGGGCTAGATGTAAATATGATGTACACAGAGAGACTGAATTATAGAGTTTTTAAATGGTGTAACAGAAATGCTAATATTGGTGTAATAGAATTATAATCAAGTTCAAAGGTCGTTATTTCGACTTATAATGCTTTGCTAAGAAAAAAATTATTGCACAAAATGAAAATATTTCAGTCTGTCATAATTCTCAATAGAAGGCCCTTGTAATTTATCTTTGTAGATTGTTTTATTGTTTTATATTTTGTATATAACAATTGATAAGACCCTACAATAAAATAGAGAATATTGTGTTTGTTATAACTATACAGGAGGATGGAACAATCTGTCTTTTTAAAGACGTTATAACTCTGCTGTACGAGCCCGGATGGTATGCATGGTGGAAACCTTCTCTGATAATCTGGTAGCATCCATTTCCTTAACAAACGTCAAAATGGGCTACAAACCATTTTTTCACATGCAATGTGTAGTTACAATATTTATTTTTCATCCGATTTTAATGTAGTTAGATTATCATAGTACGTACATGTAAAACAATCGGAAAATGGTAACAGAATTGCAATCTTTTTTTTCATTTATTTACAGGCACGTACCGGGAAATAATTTCCTGTATATCATGAATTTTTACCAGACTGATGTGGAAAAAATATATTTCAATTAAATGTTTTACATTGTACATATAATCAAACCCATCCTATTTTCTCGTGTTTCGTTTATGCGTATACATATATAAAATTACAGTCTTGCGTATTCTTTACAGTATAAAAACTAATCCTCGCGCATCAATGAGATTTAATTAAACAGAAAGATTAAATTTTGTGAATGGTATGTATTTATTCATGATCTTTAAGTCTTTTGGACATATCGGGCGAACATATACACAGAATACATAATTACATACATGTGTGTGTGTGTGTGTGTATAGTCAATAATCATAAATATCATTTTTTTTAAAAATATGGTTGTCTAGACTGACCGGGGGTACACATTTTTAGTAAAATTAAGTTCAGAATATTTTTATCAACAGGAAAACAAACAAATTAAATACTGGCTTTGATAAATATCCCCATATCATTTGGTCTCTGGTGGAGAGTCTCATTGGTAATCATACCACATCTTCTTATTTTTTATTTTGGGTCACAAAGTGCCATGAAAGTATTGTGTCAAATTCCATCATGTATTTTAAATGATTTTATTGATATGTAAATTCAATAGTCACAGTATTTAGAAAGTTATCATATTGTTTATAACTTGTTTTACAAAGAAAATAGTATATGTAATGACTAATGATTTTACTCGGCATTTGGTCATTGCGATATTTAATGAAATGTCCAACCAAACACGTCAGAAAATCGATCGTTATGTCAGCTGTATATTTGGAAAGATTTTATTTAAATTTAAATCTAACGTTATTTTTCATCAATAAAGTCTCTGTAATTTGGGGAAGTGAATAAACGATTGAAAATAAGTTTGGAAGAATGGCTTATAGTCAACTGTGGTAATTTAACCCTTGATTTTATATTTTCTTGATTTTACATTTTTTAATAAGTCTTATCGTTTCACTGTTCAACGTATATTCAACTTTTATATCAACTTTCTTAGTGAGCTCTTTAATATATGATCATAAATGTTCGTTACTTATGTATACTTTTGAAAAGCGATTTTAATTTAAAACTAAGAAGATTCTATATATACTTAAACAAGAAATATCACTAAAATTCACAAACATTTTATTTATTTATTTCAACATAGATGTAATTTTTCTTTATACTTAAGAAAAAAATGTACCAATAAATTCTAAGGGGAAATGTATAGGTCCTTTTTTTTCTCTTTCTTGGTTCAAATATTTTCAAAACGTTTTTTCTCTGGTGTCAAATATTTTCAAAACGAAAGTCACATTATAAGTAATAATATTCTTGGACAAGTAAAGCATGAATATTATTACTTCGAACGTTAAGTATGTAGTACTTCTTGGGGCAAATAAAAATAAAAGTTGTTTTTTCACCTTTCAAGGCGGTTATTTTTTTCTCTCCGACAATTGCCTGCAGAAAATACAAAAAAATAAAATAAACTAGAATGATCCAGAATGTGTTGCTCCCTTATGCGACAGAATCTACAAATTTCTGTTGTTCGAATCAGTTTTTGAGTGAATGAACAAAATGTATCGATTACGTGTTACTGATGTTTTATCTTAAGTCTATTAACACAAAAAAAAACAGTAATTATATGATATTATCCCTCTTTACCTGTCAATATAAACAAGTGTTGATCTACTGACCCGATTAGGCCGTTACAATATCTCCCAGAGGCAACTAATATAGGACAATTATCTCTTTTTGTAATGCACAGGAAATCCTCATCACTGACCCCATGTATTATAATCTAATTGATCAAAATTATTAAATGATTACTTAATTTTCCTGTCTTTTGAAACGATATTCTTATTCTAACCCCCTGGAGAGGCAAATCAATTAGATAATAACACGCAAACGATTGTAATCACGTGACAGTTGAAGGTCGTCAATGACACTGATAATTCAATGAAGTGAGTAAACAACACAGGAAATGTAGTCCACTATATAATGTTGTGAAGACTTTCATTTTTCAAAACCGTTAAAAGAAACTGGTAAGTGAATACACAAATTGGATGTTTTTTAAAGTTTGTTTTATTAGTTCGAGGATATTTTAATTTAAACTTTTTTCATCATAATCTGCGGCGCAGTAATTGTGTCCTGAATAAGATAAAAACATAGCTTAAACGCTGGTTGTAATGTTCCATTAATAGAATAAAAGAGGCGGTATTTTATGACGTTGAATGTTTTTCATTGGCCGAAAATAATCTGTCTGATTTGTCACACAGATAATAGTGTGCAGAATACATTCAAATACACGGTATAAAGTAGGGCAAACATTCATTACATCTCAACAGTTGAACTAGACGCTCAAAGGATATACATATTATAAAATACATTTTTTCTATATATCATATTGTTTTTGTTTATGACATTTTCATTGGAACTCATGTGTTAGCATTGATAGTGTCATTTCATAAACTATTTTTTCACGTATGTGTTCACTTGGTTTGTAAGCGGCTGTAGTTTAAAGTGTTTTATTTTTAGTTTCCGAATGCCTTGCTTGGAGTGTGTAACCAATATGAGTGACGATTTCTGCAGTCGTGAAAGTTTAGGTTCGGTGCTACGGGAGGGGAAAACCGTTTTGATACTCGACTGTCGACCACAGGCCGACTTTAACCGATCTCATATCAAAGGATCTATTAACATTACACTGCCAGGACTAATGGTCCGACGATTGAAGAAGGGAAATCTAAAAATTCAATGTGTGATCCAAAACAACGAAGCCAAAGACAGATTTAATAAACTATGGAAAACTCATGATGTTATCTTATACGATCAAAGTTCCACGGATAACAATTGCAACACGTCCCAAACTGTAGATTTATTAATGAAAAAACTTCAACAAGATGGAGCCACAGCTAGAATTCTAGATGGTAAGTAAAACGTATACTTGATTGAGTTTAATTTCCATTTTCAACAGTAAACTTTACAGGGTTTTGAAGTCCATATAACGTCTATTTTGGATCAAAGTATATATTGATCATGTTTATGTGTAAAGTTGACATCTTCCTTAATATATCTTGACGTATGCGTAGCTTTCGGCATCTCTTTGATATATAGTAGGATAAATAACATTTCGTTTATTCACATTGATGAATGAGTTTCGGTCCATTAACTTGCACTGGACACTACAGAATTCCTACAAATTAAAACCCCCACCATAAATGTACACTTATCTGTAAATTTCATTGAAGATAACCAAAACTCTTATCAATGAAATAGATCCATGGGTTTTATCTAAGACAGGAAGCTTGACCTAGATGATAAAATATTTGTTATTTGCATTGAATGCCAAAGTAAACATTTCTATCGCGGCTAGTGGCTAAGTAAATAAATTGTCTGATAACAAAACTAAAACTAAAAAGGGCTCCGTTAGGTTTTATTTTTTCAATATCATAGTGTTTAATCGATCTCTTATTTATTTTGCAGGAGGCTTTGAAGAGTTTGAGAAAACCTCACGAGACTTGTGCGAGGGGACCAATAGTACGGACGATTCGATATATGGTTTATGTAACTTGAAAATTTCTGACGACTCTGGAGTTGGAACATCTGAATCCGACAACGATAACGTCAATTCTCCATCACCTCGCTCACAATATCCAGTGAAAGTGCTACCATATCTTTACTTAGGGAATGCACAGAACTCAGCAGACTTGAATCAACTTAAAAAATTTGGAATTAAATATATTTTAAATGTGACACCAAACGTACCAAACAAATTTGAAATGGACAGTGACTTCAAGTACTTACAGATCCCAGTGGCGGACCAACTATCTCAAAATCTCTCAGCTTTCTTCCCACAAGCAATTGCTTTCATAGGTTGGTACACATTTCATTTTATGTGAACGACAAAAGTTATCATTTATTTGAATGAAATTGATAAGGTAATGGATTTCACCTCGCTTGACACGACATTTTTAATGGAAATTTACAGGATGTACGCTTGTTTGATTCTCATATCCGGCCAATTCAAGCACAAAGTCTGGCTTTAAATGTTTGATTAGGGTGATCACCATAATTTACTATGAATATTAAATGACCTATTATGTAGTCATTTTCGGTGGTTATTTACATTTTGTCGACATCCACAAAGAAAAGAATAGGTCAATAACGTTGACACATTTTAAAAATGTAATTAGTATGCCTCGATGCAATGTAAATGTACATTAAGATTAAGTAAATATAACTGTAACATCTTGCTTATAAAGTACTCTGAGTCATACAGAAATGTATAAGTTTTTTTAATTTTTTATTTTCAGATGAAGCAAGAGAAAATGAATGTGGTGTATTGGTGCATTGTTTGGCGGGAATTAGCCGATCTGTGACAGTTACCTGTGCTTACTTAATGCAAAAACAGCACATCAGTTTAAATCAAGCCTATGACCACGTGAAACAGTGCAAACCAAATGTATCGCCTAACTTCAATTTCTTAGGACAATTACTCGAATTTGAAAAATCCATTTTGTGCCAAAATTCCACTCAGTCAGTGAATGAGTTCCACTTTCAGTGTAATGACAATGTAAAAGTTCCTACAACACAGAACTGTGAGGCAGCAACGTGAACTTTTTGATTGATAGTTTTTGGTCAAAATTAAAAAGGACTTAGTGATCCGCCGAATGTTAAACATAGCGGCACCGAGGTCGGCACAGTCGAAGTAGACAATATTATGAATAGCCCAAGGAAGTCTTTCAGATTTTGTGTCATGAACATGAATATTGTACATCAAAATATCTTCAAACGGCAGCTTTTTTGAACAACTTTTCTCTCATCGGAGATAATACATGCAGTTGTCACGGAAATTCGACGGGTTCAGGTTGGGGAACGTGCGCACGTTTATTTCCCGCCAAAAGTGTTCATTCATTGACATTTCATAGTTTAATATCGTTATCAAATCATTCACTTTTGTTATTCATTATTCATTATTCATTGTTGTTATTACTCTTGAAAAAAAGAGATTAAAATGTCTCCAGTTAAAACTGTCTGCATTTTTAATAGTTTCCCTCACCAATGTACAAAAAAACCACATAATTAATAATGTATTGTTTTAAATTCATACATTACCGAGACTAATTAACATAAGAATTTTTACACTTTCAACGTATACAGGAGAAACGTCAACCAATCGAACTTTTTATTTCAATGTCCTGTAACATGTTGTATAGAAAATCTAGGACAACAACACTACTTTCCATGAACAAAACTAAAGTCTTATAACCAAAACATGTGTTAAACGTTCACAGTCATGTAGATGTGACCTTTTGTTTATGAACCGTAATTACAAATGTAAGTTATTCCTGTTTCGCATCTGTCATTTCTGCACAAGATTAATATGTAGTTAGCAATTATATAACTTTGGTTTGATGTGATGTATGAGAACATTTTTCTCAAGGATTTTTGGCACTTGAGCATGTTGATGGTATCAGAGTAGGGCGTCTCAAGCTTTGTATCTGGCCTGTTTTTCATAGAAAACAATTATCGCTTTTGTGTGAATGGTATTATGACAAAAATCATTTACTAGTATTGCAGTTCTGGCATTTCATATGTTAAGCAGTGATAAAAATTGTACTGCATTATAAAAGGCAGTTGAAAAGTTACTATTAGAGTAGGGCGTCTCCAGCTTTGTATCTGGCCTGTTTTTCCATAGGAAACAATTATCGCTTTTGTTTGCATGAATATTGTGACAAAAATCATTTACAAGTATGTCATGCAGCTCTCGTATTACGATTGAAGTGTTTAGCAGTGATGAAAATTTTACTACATGATATAAGGCAATTGAAAAACTTCTACATGATGATGTTATGATTTAGACTAGTGGTGTTTCATTGACCGTTATATCTAGCATCAGTATTATAGTCACATTTATCAAAATTTAACTTTGAATTTACCAGATTTGTTTTTATGGATAAACCAGGAATGAGTAAGGCGAGAAATCACGAAGTAAATGTTCAGCAACTAAAACGTTTTAAAGCTTTTCATTATTCCTAATGTTAAAAGTGAAGGAAATATAACACTGATCCCTTATATATTAAAGTGAATCACATGCTGACATTTCTTTCAGCAAACATTAAGCCCTACTCTAATAGTAACTTTTCAACTGCTTTTTATAATGCAGTACAATTTTAATCACTGCTTAACTGATGCTAAATATAAAGGTCTTAATATAAGTTATTAAAATGAGATTATCATATGGGGTACAATGAAAATGGACAGCACAGCAGTTCTCGTGGTCTTCAACAAAAGACAAGTATATGTACATGAGAAACCCTAAATCGAACCTATACTAGATCGAGGATCTGCCATCGAAACAAAAAGCTCTAAATGGCAAAGAACATTAAGATCTACAGACATCCACCGAGGATGTATATATTGATTGATTGATTGTTGGTTGCTTAATTTCCTCGAGGAGATAAGGGTCCCGAACATGCCACGTGATATATATTATATAATATGTAACTTTTTTTTCAACATCACATTAGATACGTACTCATATACATTTATCCATACAATATATACAACAACAAAAAAAACAATTGTAATTTATTCAGGAGAACACACTCGCTTGTTTATAATTCTTAAAAGGCTACATTAATTTATGAGATCTGTCCTATTTATATAATACATAATTTCAGTAAAGACTTTGTTTGGCTTTCTATTTAAACTTATTTGTTATAAATGCATTACTCTCTTATAAATAGTTTTTGAGATCTCAACTCTCCCCTTTTAATCATTTGCTTTATTTTGTTCACACAGCAACATGAGCAATGACGATCGCAATTAACTTTCCGTGGTCGTAGAATTATTTCAGCTTGAATTTTGCAACCTGATGTGAATTATTTATGTTTAAACCAAGAAAATAATTATAAAATCTCCTGTATGTGCCTCGCCGACTCTTAAGCTATCAAACATTTGTTAAGGTCAATATGCAGAAACCATATCGTATGAACTGTTTGCTTTTTAAACAACATTTTATCCTGTAAGTAGAACGATGGTTTTATGGGGATTTATCTTCAGGACACCTACACAATATCAGCTGATAAGAAAAAAAACAGATTACCTGAAGCGAAAATACCCAAAATCAATACCAAGGAAGTAAATTACGTACTGGGAAAACCAAGTTTACCTGTATGTTCTCTGCTGATTGTCTAACAACCTTGGGGAAAATATTTATTAAAAAAGTATCAATTTAGAAGTTAAGTGATTTTATAGAACTAATAGTAAAAAGCTTTGGAAGCAAGGTTTGACAGATAATGAAGTTTTGACTTCCTGTTGAGACAACATGGCGCCTACATACATCATATCAACATTACTTGTCAAATCTTCACATCATGAGGTTATGATACGCCTTTTAACCACTGGTTTGGCATAAAGTATGATATATCAGAACGTGTTCAAGAGTTTCGGTACCATTTGACACTCGGATTAAATTAAAAACACAGATTGCCAGAAGTTCTACGTATCATTTATTTTTATACATAGTTTTGGTACTCTCAATAATCATTTTAAAGGAAAAGAGAGAATCTTTTTTTCCTGTCCAATATTTTTTTCTCGTAATTTTTATATATTCATAACCAGACATCATACTTTTTCAGAAGAAAACCATTAGCATGCATCTTTGTTTTAACATTTATTTTGATTTTGACTGTGTCTGTGTATATTTTTTGTGTTATTATTCTCTGGCATTTGGAATTCGATATGAAGAACATTTCATCAAAATTAGGTCAACATAACGTATTCATTAAAAGAACACTTTTCATTTTAATGGAAGAAAAGACACATCATATCATGCTTGTATTTTCGTTTATACCTTTCTGTGCGATGTAGTTATCTGTATCACAGGTCCATTCTTAACACCATGCCAAAAATATGCATACCATTATGCTTGAATCGGCATCACTCATCGCAAAATTTTCCACTGTTGGTAAACAAAACCTCGCCATAATACCCCCTTTGTGTGAACAGTCAAAAATAAAAGTGTATGGGAAATACGAACATATGATTGTAAAATTTAAAAAGTGGAAATTGATATTAAGTTAAACGAGCAGATTAACATTTTTTCTCGTCCATTTATGGCCTATTTACATTCCGCAGGTTTCAGACGACTATGATTTATTGAAACAGCGTGACACAGTTATTTATGTATATTGTGGTCGAACAGGGTTAGGTTGACGTACTGGTCTTTTTTTCAATCTATTCCTGTTTTCTTCTGATTTCTTCACTATTACTTACAGTGGATGAACTATGTAAGTATTAGTACACAATGTTTATTTTTTTCCAATATAGGACACACTGCAAAGAACAAAGTGTTAAGCATTGGTTATAGGATAAAACAATTTTAAGAAGTTGAATAAGTATTAGATACACCTTGAGGGGGTAAGCCCGAATGGATGTATCTTATTTATACCAAGATTGTCAATGCAGAAAGATAGTTTTCAATATATTAGGAGGGGGTCTTTTAGCGAGTTGACCATATGTTATTGAAAAGCATGATAAATTTGGGGGATCCAATTTCATTTAACAACATCTTGGTGTAAATTAAGATAAAGGCACTACAAACGCGGAAAGTACAAATAGCTGAGCAATACACAAGCCTGTTGTAGGGATGTCACATCAATAAATGATGAATGTATAACTGAAATGTATGGGACAATTGTGGAAAAGAGTATTCAAACAAATTAGAACAGTTGCAACTTGAAGAAAGAAAGGTACCGGGCTTATGGTTTTTTTCACAAAAATTCTGAAATTGTCATACAAGAAGTTGGTTTGGGAATCCTTAGAGGAACGACGAAAGGAAGAAAATTACAAAAGTTTTACAATATTTAGAATATTTATTTAGTCTTGTCAGTCATATCATACCAAGTGCATTGTACAACACATTAGTCAATATCCCTTGCGAAATGCACAAGATAGTATTTTACCATTCTGCAGGTGTTCGCGCACTTGGCAGTTATTTATTCCTTTAACAATTAAACATTGGAATAGTCTGAACCTGTCAATTCGAGCATTACACACAATATTGAAGTTCAAATCGGAATTGTAAAAATTGGGACCATCTCCTACATTATTTGTTTAGTCCAAGAAATCTGAATATTATCTTAACTCAATTACGAAGTTCGGAGCCTTTCTTGAACTGGACCATTTGCCTGAGTACTAAGGGCTTAAATTATATCTGACCCAACTTGTCGATGTGAATCGGATGTTGGCGACATTTCTTTTTTGACGGTTACTTCTATATAAATATAAGGACTGCCATGTTTAATAATCTCAGCTGGCTCAGACATTTGTAATTTTAGAAATATAACTCTTAATTTGGGGAAAGGCTACACTTTCCTATGACCAAAAAACGTGTTAATTGTCACACACGTTTTAAACTTTATATAGAGATGATTCCTCTTATGTATGATATTAACCCTGGTAAAATAAACACCGTCATCATCATCTTTGTCGTTCTTTCTAAATCACCTTTCCTATATTTTATTTCAGCTTCTTAATATTAATATTGTATATATCATATCATACATGCTGACTTTGATACTGTATTATTATAATATATATATATATTGTTTTATGAATTAGTTAACAAGTATGAAGTGTCTACTCCGTCTGATTATAGCAAATAAAAAATGTACAAAAAACTCTTTTACAGCAAAACGTTTCCAACTGGCATTTGTATTTTTTCGCAAATAAAATGATTCTTATATAAATTCTTTAACAATGCAGGAAAGGGATGTTTTTCATATGGTACCTTTGTATGGCTGATATTTTCCATTGTCGATAGTTTTACAATTTAAGCCTAGAACAAAATCATTAGTTCCATAGATGACGATATCGTACAACGTTGATAAGTACTATCACCGTTGCTATTATAATCGCCTAGATCGTTTCCTATTTTGAAGCTACTGTTGAATTCAATACTTAACCCCGCTGAGATAACAAAAGTGGTAAAGAAAGAGTCAACATTTATTTAAGAATTGAATGC